TAAAGTGTGAATTCACACAGTGCAGATGGAATCTTCTTGGCCTGTAGTAGGTACTGAATAAATGTTTGTTGACGGAAGGATTGAATGAATGAGTCGATAGAGTCGAGCTGTTCTGATGTGAAGGAAACGTTCGAGAAAAAGCAATCTGGCTGTTTGCAGGAGGTGGAATTAACACCTCACAATGCTACACACCTGCCTGGTGGAGCTCTGAGCTTTCTGAGTCACATGTCTGCACTCATTCTTGCCCGACTACATATTTCCGTGAATCCTCAGAGTTTCAGAGCCAATTTCACACACTGCAATGGGGTTCAGTGTGATAAAATTTTTTCACCAGGGCCCTTGAGTTTTACTGAGCAGCCAGGCCCTCCCTGCAGGGCCTTGTCTATTTGAAGAAGATAGAATGACACTTGGCAACAGCCCAAGTCAGACAGTGATTAGAGCACCCGCATTTACGGGATGATGGACCATCTGAAACGGAACAGCCCACATGATCTGCTAGGAAGGGTTGTTTGCTTTGGAAGAGGATAACTTATAGTTTGAAAGGCATAAATGCACAGGGCATGGAATATTGATTCCAGTCTGAAATGGGGAGGAGTCTATCTGTATTCACAAAGATACATGGCAAGCATTTCTTTTTCTGAAATCTGTTAGGCCAGAAAGCTCATTTAGCTTGCCTTCTCTGCTGTGTAACACCACAGAATGTCCAGGTCAGAAAACCCGTATTAAAAGTAATATGCACCTTCATATCAGGACTGTTACCATCGAGTTTGCATCGAAGCGTTGGTGGTCCTGAGTTGCTTTGGGTGTCTAACCGCCTTGACGACCCTCCCGTTGTTCTGTCTGTCAGTTGCCCTCTTGGCACTTGGGCTCTGATCCAAACACATTGTATGCAGAAAGGTTTGCCGAATGAAGAGCAGGGCAGAATCATCACTGCCTTATTTGAGATGCTCTCTTCATTGACATAGCCTGATCACACTAGATTTCTGTGAACCATATCTCACAGCCGACTTGTATTGAATTTTAGTTAACTAACGCTCCTGATCCATTCTCTGAATGTTAAATCTTATCTCCCCATTCTGTAACCAGTAGAATATAACCGGAATCCTAAACAATTTGTAGGATTTGTCCCAATATCCTAACCAAATTAAGATTTACTTTGATATTATGATTATCTAATCTATTAACTCTGTCTCCATGTTTTTCATCTTCTGTTGCCACAATCAGCCTCCTGTCCGTGGGTTTAGTTATACAACCCACAAGTTCAAATGTCACCTTTTCAGTGAGGTCTTCTCTTAACTACTCTATTTAAAATTGATCCAGTGAACTTCCTATACTTTTTCTCTGCCTTTTTTCTCTATTATATAATCATATAGGTTTATGGTAATTATACATGATTGTAATCATGTATGATTATGTAATCATCTAACACATTTAATCTACCATGACATATATTTTACTTACTCACTTTGTTTATTATTTCTTTTGCCACCTTTAGAATATAAGCTCTGTTAGGGTCGCAGTTGTCCTCAGGTCTGTTCCCTGCTGGATCCCGCACTTGTTGTGCGGATGTGGTTGAAGGCACCGGCGTCCTTAGCCAGGTCAGTAAGAATGCTGAGCATGACAGAACCAATGCCGCACTGCAGTGCATTCTACCAGGGGTGGCTGCCCCTCGCCAGATTGCTTTTGATCTATCAACCTGGAAGTTCCCTCCCCCAAAAGAAAGGGGGATTCATCTGCCATAACTGCTTACTTCCTTTTCCTAACTGCACATAAATCATCCTTTCGGTGACCCATTTTAAACCCTGCTTGAGAAGGGCACGGCATTCATCAGTGGCCTGTCCAAACCCCTTGCTTCCGTGGAAAGGAGGTCCTTCCACAGGTGAGGTCCCTCCGGGTGAGGTCTGAGGTTCTCCTGGCCGCACTTGTTCACAAAGTGGGCGTGTGCTCCCTGGGCGCAGAAGCAGTCGGATGTTGGCAGTAGCACCACTGAGCTGGAAGGCTTGGGCTCAGATGCCATTGTTGCTTTGCACTGAAATAGCACATCCTTTTTTCTCCCCTGGGCTTTAATTTTGCAGTGTATAAAATAAAAATGGTAATATAATTTTCAAAAATATATTATGATACTTTATTGATTATTATTTATGTATACCCTTTTGGTTTCATGTCCAGTTGCTTCGCGTAGACATTAAAGATCTAAAGTTTTGGATATGTTTAGTTTATTTCTATTGCTCTCTGATTTTAAGGATTTCTATTGCTTTTATCCATTTCATTTTCCCCCATTCTTTTTAACACAGCTGTGGTGTAGGCCCTTGTCACCTCACCCCTGAATTATCACAAGCCACCTAACTGGCTTCAGGACTCCCATCTCTTGTTTCTTCACCTTAGGATCTTCAGTCCAGCTAATTTCCTAGAACTCAGCTACTCCAAATGGACCACAGCATCAGCATCTCCTGGGAACTTGTTAGAAATGCAGACTTTCAGACCCCACTCAGAACCTCCCAAATCAGAATCTGCATGTTAACAAGACCCACGGTGATTCACAGCACTTGGAAGCCCGAGCAGCTCTGCCCTCCCTTCTGCCGTATCTTTCCCTTAACCGGGGGGAGGGGGCTTCCACAGACTTCATACTGGACCACCCCCACACTGTCTGTGTCAGAAAGGCTCTGCTTTTTATTTTTTAAGTAGTTCATCTTTTTTTTTAAGATTTTATTTATTTATTTTTAGAGAGGGAAGGGAGGGAGAAAGAGAGAGAGAGAAACATCAATGTGCAGTTGCTGGGGGTTATGGCCTGCAACCCAGGCATGTACCCTGACTGCGAATCGAACCTGTGGCGCTTTGGTTCGCAGCCCGAGCTCAATCCACTGAGCTATGCCAGCCAGGGCTAGAAAGGCTCTGCTTTAAAAGTGAGATTTTTTTGACATGAAGATGTAAATGCCCCTACCTATTCATTGATCCTGAGAATGATGAGCTAGTTTATCAAGATAACTTTGAAGCAAGTGTAAAAATTATTGAGATTCACCTTGAGTTGAATCCTTGTGGGAAACCAGAAATATTGGTTTCTGAGGAGTGAAAGATAGGGAGTTCTTGGGAAGCATATGTGATGAGTTGGTTGGAAATATTCTTATTAGTTGGACACAATAACAGGCGTTTTATATGTTTAATGTAATCCTCCCAATCATGCCATTGAGATGGGTGGTATCGTCCCCATTTTACATGCGAGGAAGCTGAAGCCCAGAAAAGTTAGGTTGTGCATAGCCACAGTATTGGTCAGAATTCAGGCTACACTGCAGTAACAAAGACATCCAGAATACAGTGGTTCCGACAAGTGGCTCTGTCCTGAGGTGGACAGATGACCCCAGGTGGGAGGCATTGATGCCCTATGAGGTCCCCCAGCTTCCTTCCCCTGTGCCACTTTGTCATTCCCCAGGATGTCCACATCCATGTGGTTGAATCCAGTTCCTGTTCTCGGGAAGGGGGGAAGGGAAAGTGAAGAGCACACCATTTTCTTATGAAAACGTAATCCACAAGTTCCACCTGCCACTTACACTCCCATTGTGTTAGTCAAAGCGTGGTCATATGGCCACCCTAGTTGCAAAAGAGGCAGAGGAGTGCTGGAACTTGAGGGGTTATTCACTAAAAGGAAGAAGGGGGGTGGCTAAGAGGCAGGAATTATTAACCTTGCCATAGGGACCTTGATTCAAACTCCAGGACTAAAACCTGTGATCTTTTCACCGCATTATTCCACCATTTCTCATAGTTGACAGTCAGTAGATGTTCCACATTTCTCATAGTTGACAGTCAGTAAATGTTTGCTGAATTGAGTTAGACTAAGATATTACATGTGAGCCTTTTGGTTATTTGAAATTATTCTTCCTTCTTCCTTGCCGCCCTGATTACCAAAGTGGCTTTGCGCACAAGGGTCACTGTTTTCACTGATGTCCATTGGTAGAACGGGAAGCTGATACTCATCTCCCTTTAGGAGAAATGTTGTAAGAAAATGATGCACTGGTCCTTACAAGTTCTGTAGAACCATATGAGCTGTGATAATGAGTTAGTGGTAACGACCAAATGACCATCCCCTTTAAGGTAGGTATCTTTTTAGGAGAATGCCATTGCTCAAAATAGTTTTGGTGTTTTATGTTGGCTGGTACATCAGTCAACTCTTGCTGCAAGGATGCTCCATGACCATACCACAATCTCAGGGGCCTACGGCAATGAGCGTTGAACTACTGTGCACGTGGGTCTCCTGGGGCCACCATTTGGGATGCCAGCTCTGGCCAGCTCTGCTCCACGAGACTCCTGTCCTCGTTCTGAGATAGCAGGCTAGCTTGGATACATATTTTTTTCTGGCAGTAGCAGAAGCATAAGAGAATAAGAGGAGTTATATTGGGCTTCCTGAGGCCTAGGCTGAGAACTGGCACAACCTATTAGCCAAAGCAAGTCATGTGTCCAAACCCATAGTCAAGGGGCATGAGAAACACACTGCACCTTAACTAAAAGGAAGTGTAGTCACATGGCAATGGGTAAGAACACAGACTTAGTGAAGAGTTGGGGCCAACAAAGCAACCTACCACGGCTTTGCCTTTAGCAAATTATTTTCAATATCCACAGTGATGGTAAATCTTTACCCTTTAAGGGAACTTTGAAATTTTTTTTGTGAAATAGCCAAGTTTATGAATAAAATTAGGCTAGGTTTATCATTGGGCAGAGAGATAACTGTTTAAGCATGTGACAAAAATAATAAAATTTATTTCTAGAAAAACTGGTTTAAGAACATGGCACTTGGGGGCAGAACAGTCAGAGTAAATATACAGCCTTCCAAGGTAGTCCACTGATTGACAGAATAACGCTCATCTGGTTCTGAAGTAATTTTTAAAAAATAAGCCCTACGGTTTGTAGTCATGTGGGACCGGTCTGTCTCGGCGTGGGAAGGAGGCTGACCAGGGACTCATCCTCATATCCCCTCGGACTGACCCTGGCCACATGTGCTTGACTTGCAGATTCTCGTCGCCAAGTCCCCTCTGGCTCCCTTCACCTCATTTGTCTACACCATCAGGGAGGAAGGCCTGGTTCTTCAAGGTAAGACCCTTGTATTAAGCCGTTTCTTTAAACTGATTGTGCTCAGGGCTGCCCGTGGCTGGTGGTGATTACCGCTATGCTCCTCGTCGAAACTACTCCGGCACAGAATGAAAGGCAAGGGGAATTGGCCAGTGCTGTGTATCTTGATGAGAGAGAGAGATTAGCAGTTGTAGCAAGAACGTGACAGAAGGTAGTGGTGGGTCTCAGAGAGAACACAGAATTTTCTAACGGGGCGAGATGGCCAAAGAATGAGGGTCAAACCAAGCCAGCCAGGAACTGCCACCACGCAGCAGGTCCTGTGGTGTGAGGAAGCGGGCGGTGAGTCTCTGACTCGGGGTGGAGGACGCCACACCGCCCCAGAGCCCTCTTGCTTAGCAGATGACAGAGCCGTGTGCCCGGCAGCCCTGGGGGCACTTGGTTTGGCTCCACAAGCACTCCCTCCTCAGCCTCTTCCTGGTGATTCCATTCCTTTCCCTGTGCTCACGTCCCAGCTGGGGACCAGGCCTCGCTGACCTGCACCCTATGACATGGGTCTGGGGCTTAGGAGGAGCTGAGTGAGGCCTGGCTCATGGGGAAGCAGCCTGTAACTCACTGATCCGCGGTGGTGGTTCCCTCCCAGATGCCGGGTCCTCTGCTAGGGAGGAAAGGCAGCCAACTGCAAGTCTGTCCAGAAAGCGATGAACATGAAATCAATTCAAACACCATTGAACTTAGCCCACAGGGTCTGATGTCCCAAACTCCTTGATCAATTGAGAAGCTTCCCCCAGAAACGCTCAGGATATACATGTGTCCCCTGATGTCAGGCAGGAGGTTCAGTCCAGAGATACGGGTGAACACAGAGCCTGAAACACAGAGGGCCATATTGTCACCGCTGCCCATGGGAGCAGTATCTGCCCTTGAGGATTTTGTGAGTTGAGTATTTTTCCCAGGTCTGTGAAACAGGGTGAGTACTTATAATCTCCCCAGGGAGACCCGTAGCACTGCAGAGATCTAGCAGGAGTTTTGTGGGGCAGGCTGGAGTGAGAGCTCATGCTTCTCTGACCGAGGAACAGGCAGCAGCCTTCCCCTCCTTCCCCTTCTAAGACGTCCGCTTCGTGATGGACCCGGAAAGCGGTGTGTTTGTTTGGTGCAGCTGAGCTCCACAGCAGGGACTCGGGTCCAGGGAAATTTGGGGTAAGAACTACTGACCTTTGGCTCTTAGCCTTTGACTTGTGCTATCCAAGTTCCTTGGTAAATATTTTTTTTACAATTGCAAATATTGTTTTCTGACAAAGAAGCAGAGATTTTAAGACCAGATTAAGCAAAGCAAACAGCAGGCCCCTTTGTCACACACTCGGAGGGGGTATAACTAACAAGCAATCAGGAGGCTGCAGTTTTATTTACTCAGTGCACGGTGGGGCTTGGGGTCCTCATTTTTAGAGCCTTTCTGAAAAGATTAGAAATCTACTACATAGCAAATTTAGACTAAGATTTCAAGAAATTCTATGGAAGATTATAGGACAATTTCAGGAGGGGAAGAGCCGGTTCTACCCAGAAAGCTTATATTGAAAGTCTTGGCATTTTGGGAACTAGCATTTCTAAGCGCGGTCTAGTTGGGGTCTCTTTTAGGATAGTGTCCATGGAAGCCACATGCACAGGGCTGCCTCTCTGACACTCACCACTGAGGTCGTGACTTTGACAGCAAAGAGGAAGTTGTTAGAGAAAGCAAAGACTGGAATCGCCATCAATGGATCGAATTTTAAAACAACCAAAAAAGCCTATTAGAAAAAGCTGGAGAGTGGGGGAGAGCATGGGTTACTGAAGGAGGCCAGCCTGGAGTGGCGTGTCCAGGAGAGAAAAATTTTCAGGAAAGCGTCCAAGGATCCAAGAACCCAAGGAATACACAGAAATGTCTCAGAGAATGCAGAGCCTCCCCTGGTCACCTTGAAGGCTGTTCGTCCATCCCACTCCCTCAAGCTACACCTCCGTCTCGAGGTTTTCCGAGCTAGTGAAAACCCTCTGACCCATCAGCAATGCCGTCACGGCTGCCGAATGCGGACCTTGGGGCAGGCCCCTTCCCCCAGCCCTGAGCTCCCAAGATTTCGGGAAAACTGAAGGAAGCTGTGACCCTTAGGAAAAATGATGACCCCTCCTTTACTGGAGAGACTCCCCCCACCCCGGGATTTCTGTTCCAGCTCTGGTATGAGCTTAAGAAAATCTCTGTCACACCATTTTTGTCAGCTTGAAAATACAATGTTGACCTTGTTTCAGTCGTTTGCAAGTTTGTCACAAGCCATTAGTGGGTGATAAAATGAAACGAATGAGTCACAACCAGCGTATTGTCTTGTTTCATGAAATATTTGTTGTTGCGACTGTGTGTGTGTGTGTGAGCATTTTGAATTTCTGTGTGGAGGTTGCAATGCAAATGTTTTTCTTGCTTGGACGGCCGTGTCCTCTAAAGGCCTGCCCAGCGTCAGCTGTGCCTGCTTCTCCTAGGAGGCGGGGTGCTTTTCACTCCCTCGCCCAGGAGACTATATCCTTGAGATCTCCACACACGGGAACAGAAGAGCTTATTTTCGCCCCCACTCTTACCAGATGACTGAACTAAAAAACACCTGCACATTTCCCCAGGTTTAAAAAAACCTTTGATCCCTGGGTAGTGACCTTGGAAAGGGACCAGCAGGCGAGGCCAATGAGCTTTTCTGATGGGAGGGGTCACTCTGGCATGAGAGCCCTGGTTGGCACGGAGGTTGGTACCTGGAGCTGGAGCGGGGAGCAGTGTGGTTGGTGCCTGAGGGTGGGGGCGGCACAGGGAGGGGAGGGGAGGGGCTGGGAGAGTGAGGGCAGCTCCTGTGGTACCTGCGGGAAGAGACGCTGCCGGCCGCCACTCGGCCGCCACTCGTGGCTCCACATTCAGTCGCTGTAATGGAGCCAGCCTGGAGTGGTGGAAAAGAATGACCCACACAGGCTGTCTTTTTTTTTGGGGGGGGGGGATGGGAGGAGACTATTAGTGAGTGCGGGAATGATCCCTCAGGGCCTTTGAACCCCTTAGAAGCCTCAAGATGCCTACTGGCCTGCCACCCGGGAGGCTTCATAATACCTGAGGAGCCCCTGAGTGCCAAGGCACAGGGAGGGAATAAAAGGTGAGGCCAGAATTCGATTTCCCACTCCACAGGCCCTTCCCCTCACCGGTTCTCAAGGATTAGGATGCTGGGAACAGCCGGCAACCGGGGGCCTGATACCCTTCCCGCCCCTTTGTTCACTGGGACGGACGGACAATAAAACGGCAGGCTGGGGAGACTGGGGGGCTTGCTTAGAGATTTCTCAGGCTGCTTTTTGAAACACTTGAAGGAGCTGGTCCATGCTATTGTTGTAGTAAAATAGAGAGCGGAACTATTCTCCTTTTGCGGGGAAAAAAAAGAAAAAGGAAAAGAAAGAAAACCCACCCTCCCAGCATCTTTAGGAGGCCGCCCGGCTCAGGCCATTACCATGGTAATACCGCCGTTTGCATCTTCTTTGTTGGAGACCCTGGCCTCTCAGGGTTGGGCCCAAGACCCTGGAAATACTTAGGCCCCAAAGGCGAAGGAGCTCACAGCCACTAGCTTCTGACTGTTCCACTCTGCAAGGGACCAGGTCCCGGCAGAGGGTGGTTCAGTTTCTTTGTGCAACTGAAGTGGGAAAGGTGAAGGGGTGGGGGGAGGTGCCCTTAATCCATTTTTCCTTTTGTCCCCAGAGTTCACCATGAAAGCCCCAGAACCACGGAGCGGAAGAGCTTAGAGGTTTGGCTAGCTCAGAGTAAGACTGAGGGGTGCCAGGACCTAGTGGAGAGCGAAGATCAGGAGTCGGCTTCATCAGAACGGGCTTTAATGGGGTGGACCTACAACCACATGCTGCAGAGGGAAGGGAGAGTTCACGGACCTGGCTCCCATATGCTCCGGTCACACTCTTGGTTTCCCCAGAAAGTCCCAAACGTGCACCCAGAACACAGCTGGGACCCCTGGGCCTCTGTGTCACGGCCAGGAATCAAGATCCTGTCATTGAAAGCAGCCAGGCTGCGTGGCTGACGCTGCAGGAAGCCTAGGAAGGACTAGGGACCCGACCCTTGGGGAGCCACCCAGGCCTTTGTGGGGCTCATGGCAATCAAGGCCTGCCCCGGGGTGGTCTGGTAAAGAAGCGGGGTGGTCTGGTAAAGAAGCGGACCCCAGAGAGGCGCTGGGGACCCCAGAGAGGCGCTGGCCAGAGGGAACAGAAGAGGTCGGTTCAGGGAGCTCCTCCGAGCTTGGCGGCCTTTGCCGGCCTTTGCCGCACTCCCCCTTTCTTCAGGAATCTAGGGAGCATTTGAAAAACAAAAGCCAGATTGTTTTGAACAGGACGGAATTAATGGCTTAGTGTCTCAGTAGGGCAGAATTGGTTTTTTATATTGTTTTGAAAAAGATCAAGATCAGGTATGACAGGTTGCCTTTGGATTCTGCTGCTGCCCTCTACTTATCTGGTTCGAATGAGCAGCATAACCTTGGCATGGAGATGGGGAACTTAAGGAGAGCCCAGGGGACCCCGAGGTAGGTCCAAAGAAGGTGCCGAAAACAAAGCTAGTTTCCTGTTTTTCTAACCACCTAATGTAGGGACTAGGGACGGGGGAAGAAACCAGAAACAAAGAAGTAAAACAACGATGTTCTAGGAGCTGGAAAGCTACGTGCCTCCTCTTTCTTGTAAAATCAAGAGTGGTTGTTTGATGGCCTTTTAAAGCATATTGGGAAAGACATTAATCTCCTCTATTTGTTCCCTTGTCACAAAGCTGGGTTGGTTTCTTCTACTCCATTTTCTTAGTCACTGAGCCAACTGGATGATTTATTGAAAAATTCTTTCGCCCCAAATACCACCCACCATCGGAGTTCGTCAGATTTCAGTCTGAATCAGTAACCCATCTGAGTGTTTTCTGCCCAGTGGACTCAAAGTGACCCAGAAGATTTTCAATGTATTTCCATCCAGGTACAGCAGTGTCTGCTTGGTCGACACCACCCACACACCTGGCACAGCCTGGCGTTCTCGTGGGAGCCTGGGCGGAGAGCCTGGGATGCAGTGGGGCAGAGACAGTGAACTTCTCCCCAAGAGGTCACAGAAGAGAGGGCAGAGCAGGCCTGTAACTTTGTCCCAGGGCTGCTAGGTGCCACTGCAGCCTCATAAACCTCATCCGGGCCAGAGCATTGCCCTTCCTTTGCAGCTTCTGCGGGCTTCTTGGTGTGGAGCTTCCCAGAGAAAATGGGGAAGGACTCTAATCTGCCCAGTCCTCTTCTAACATTCAGTTCACACCCCCTCCCTCCATGACATCTTCCCACACTGGCCCTCTGCTTTGTTCATTTTCTTTTCTATTTTTTTTTTAGTCTGTCTTTTAGCCTCAAATAGGGATTTGTTTTGAGAGCATTCCAGATTTCCATGAATGGTTTATTGTACACATCATTCCATAACTTGCTTTTGTCCCGCAACATTACGTTTCCGCAGTGTGTTCATGTTACACGTGGACCGTGTTCTTTCACTTTAATTGGGGTATCCACATCCCTGGTTTGAATACACCACATGTTATCTGGCATATTCACGCCGCTGTTTGAACATACCCTGGTGTGGTATATTCCGTATCTGGAGTATTCCTGTACTGATGGAAATTTCAATCGTGTGTTAGTTTAATGAATTCTCTTACACATGTTTCTTGGTATGCAGGTATGAGGGTTTCTCTGGGTATATATCAAAAGGTAGAAAGGCTGGTCAGAGGGTACGTAGTTGTTACTCTGGATGACCAGGAGCACAGCTAACTGTGGGAGTTGTTTCCCTGAGAAGGGAGCCGAACATCCAGCGACACATCCCTTTCAGAGGAGTCCAGTTGCAGCGATGAGGCCCCACGGGGCAGTAGTGCAGATCCTGGGTCCGGGCTCACTGCGTAATGCCGAAATGCCACGTAACTGTTATGTGTTAAAAATGCTGTTGGGATCCTCTTCGGCAGAGTCCGGAGTAGAAAAGTGGGGTATCACAGTCGGTAGTGACACCACCGATCGGCACCCAAAAACCTTGGTCCCCACCCAAAACAGGATCTGCCCCAAGCAGAAACGTCAGGATGCGTTTTGCTGTTGTGCGCTGTGAGAGAGACATTCGAACAACTGCTACTAGTGCTACTAGTGTGGGGTGTGAATCTGAGGCCAAAGTCAGAGACTAAACACTTTTCCCCAAAATGTTTTTTCCTGTCCCCACAACTTTTTAAAACATGGCACAAAATGTTACCTGGAATAAGGTTATAGAGAAAATCTCTGTTCCAAGGCCTGGACTGTAGTTCATCTGAATCCACACTCCTCACACAGGCCCTGGAAGCCGTTTGGCTATCTTGGCAGAGCTAACAATTTGCATCTGCGAAGATGCCCAGGTAATAGCACCAAAAGATGTTAAATCCATCCAGGTTGTGGATTTTTTTGAAAACCTCTTCCAGAAGGACTCGGTGTTCTTTCTGGTATTCGACTTCAGCCAGATTTCAGGGAGGTCAGGTCGGCAGGTGTGTGGTGAGCCTCTGCTCTTTACAGCTCACGATGCTTTCTTAACCTAGTTATTTCCGGACAAAATCAGTGTATTCAAATTGTGATACGGAGTATCGAGGTTCAAAAACGGAATACGCAAGGACAGAGGGGAGAGACCCATCCCAGCCACGATGGCCGAGGAAGTGCCCTGAGAACACATGGGACCGAGGCTGGCGGTCGGCCCCCGAGGCTGGAGACAGCGGCATTCCTCTGCCCTCCGACAGAGACCAGTGTCTCCCACAGATGTGGGAACACTGCGGATGCTGAGCAATGCCACGTGACTAATGAATCACGCTGACTAATGTGTTCTAAATGGATTGATTCGGCAATAAAGGGAACGCAGAGAGTCCGGAGTTCAGATCCTGAACTTCACCACGAAGTATAAATCACTTAGTCTCAGTACTTCATGGGTTTGGTCAGTGAAGAGGTGCTCATGATGAGAATCCAAGTCACTCTGACTAGGAGGTGCTTTACAAACCTTTAGGATAACGCAATGCCTCACAGCCAGAGCCTGCACAGGCCTGCGCAACCGGGCGCTATCCACAGCACATGCAGAGTGAGGACAGCCACCACATGCCGCAGCCTAGCCGTGCGAAACCTTTATTACCTTTATTTCCCCACACACGCCCTGAGAACCCACAAGCACAGCGCTGCACTCCCAGAAGCTGACTCGGAGAGGAGCTTTTGAAAAGTCTTCCTACCTCCCTACTGGGGCGTCTGTGTTTCTGCAACAAGCGTCGCCACGGAACTAAGAGCTCGCCCTGCACACACAGCCCTTTCTTTCTTTTGACATCTTCCCAGCCCGACGGCTTGAGAACCTGGCCTTCCGTGTCCAGATGTTCAGTGAATTCTGAAGGCCCCCCAAAGGGCCCAAGTTCTTTTGTTGTGCTCCAAATCATTTCCCACAGAGACTGACCGATGTCCTGAAGGAGCCCTTCAATAGGGAGGATAAATGGAGGCAGATGAAGACATGACCCCCTGAGGCTCACCCACGTCCACGCTAACAAAGGGTCTGAGGCACAACCTTGTCAGGAGCATTTTGGTCAGCAGCATCCCTTCGAGAGGCCAAGTCTCCCCCACCGGGCTGCTTTCAAAGGCTGCCCTCACAGTGGAAGTACTGGGCATTTGTTAGGGGCCGGGCTATGCTAAGTGTAGCACAGTACGTCTAAATCATGGTCCCCTGCCTTTGGGAGGACTTCCTGGCTGCAGACGGCAGCTGGCTTTCTCAGGGGAAACCTGGGGGCAGAGGAGGAAGCCGAAGAGGGGCTCCAGCCTCTCCGGATGACCTCTTCCCACCAGCCCAGAAAGATGCCCTTCCGTCTGCCGCTGTCGGCAGTCAGGCCCGGGCTGCAGGGCCTGAAGCACACCTGTGCGTGCGATAGACAGGTGTCCGTGTGAGTCCGTGCTAGAAGGAAGGCTTTATCGAGACTATGAAAGGTTCATGCATTTCATGACAGCAACATTTTGGGGGTTTTTTTTCAAACTTTCTTTCTCTCCCTCTTTTTTTTCCCTTTTAGGCCAACAGAGGCCATAAGGACACTGTGACCTTTGTCTAGAGCTGATGGGGACGTGATTTGTGAAATGAAACAGGACTACACTGCTCGGAAGAAGGAAACGGAAGCCACTGTAATGGGGATTAATTACTTGATTGCTGCTGAGATGGTAACAGACTTGCCCCCATACCATTGAGCCAGCCGTCCCAGACCTCGCAGGGACAGTGAAGACGAAGACGTCTTTGTTCGGGCCTCTAGATGCGTGGGGCTCTCGGCTTTGCCGCCATGGGATGTCCACAGCCATAATAATAATAATTTGCACTTATATAGCACCTTTCAACCAGGCACCTCAAAGCGGTTTAACCACGTTCATTAATTAAAGCCCACAATCCCCCTGGGGAGAGGAGGAGGATGACTAACAGGATTTGTAATTACAGGAGAGAACATTTCCGAATAAAGTATTGTCCACCAAATAAAAAGAGGAGGTGTCTGAGACGCGGGGTCTCCAAAGAGTAACTGATTCAGAGATGAAATCATGGAAGGATGGGTGGCTGGGGGCGGGCATGGGCTCGGGGCTCTGCTCTCGTGTCAGAGGGAGGTCGATGGGCTCAGAATTCCCTGACAGGTTTGGATCCGACTGCGAAGCGGACCATGTATGGTATTAGTGGCATTGGGAAGGTCATTAGTGGCACAACCATTGTGGTGTAAATTCAAGTCTCACTAATATATTGTGTATGGCCCTGCAGAACAAAGAGTGAGATTCTTGCAGTATTTAATAAAGGATGAAATGATTTCTTTAGATTTAAAGCCCAAGCTGAGCCAGTCAATTAGCAAATAAATCAATTGGTGACCCATAGGATAATTTAGTCGTTTTCAGCACAACACCCAGCCTCCCCCTTCCCACCGAAGCTCCAGGACTGGTTGGCGGCAGGCCTAGGGCCTCCGGCCCCTTCAAAAGCAGGCATCAGATCTTCCCAGCCTCGGGCAGTGGGACCTTCTTACGCAAGTTGTTAGTGACCCTAAGCTGTTCTCTATATAACCACGTTATACCTGCTTCCCTTGCAGAGGTTTTTAAACACCTCGGAGACTAGAATCAAGTCTTGTCGTACCTTGTGTCTCCTACTTGTGCCCTACACAGCGCTGGGCACAAAGTAGGTACAGACTGGCCAAGAACAGTTGAACAACTACATCCTTGTAAATACTTAGCATGTATTGAGCACGTACGAGGTGCTAAGGTGAAGCTCAGAAACGGCAGGACATGAACATCGTCCTTGAGAACTCTATTCCCGGGAATGGACAGGACTCGCGTTCTATTAACAACAATATAAAACAGCATAAAATAAAGTGCCATGATGGATGCACATTCAGGCCACAAGCTGCCAGGGCAAAAGAGGAAACGCGTCACTGGGCTGCAGAGAATCGGGGACGGTGTTCCTGGAGAGCGGTGGTGCTGTGGGCAATGGCAGGTGAGAATGGCGTGGTAGACCTGGACGAGGTGGGGGAGGCTGGCTTTCCAGACTGTGGGCCTTTGTCTCCCTCCGAGCGAGGTGCATTTTGAGAGCCTGTGGTCTTCAATAGGACATTTGTGAAAACCAAGCTGAGTTTTTGCAGCTGATTAAATGTAAATTTTCCATGAATTCTTATTACACGAATTGGCTGATCTCAAACATCAAGGGAGTATTTGAGAAATTAGAAAAGTCGTCTTGTTCGCTGTAACTATTCATTCCGTCTTTCTCCACTTTCACTGTCCACCGAGAAAGAAAAGCTAAAGAATTCACATTCTAAAACAGGGCACTGGAAGGTGTCTGGAAAAGGTACAAGGAAAACATCTCCGTCACAAATGTCAAAGATTAAATGGCTCCCTCCTTGAGACTATTTTTTTTTTTTGACCCCTGTGCACACTAAGACGGTGCGCTACACCCAGCAATTAACTAACCAATCGCAGTTCTCTCCTGCTCCAAGGCCCACCAGGGCATTCCACCACAAACCACGCTTCCAGGACAGGGCCTGAGTGCTGTCTTTGCATCGTGCCAGTTCTTCCTGAGGGTTCCTGTGCATCTGACACACACTGTGTGCCTGAGCCAACTTAATCTCCTCACAGACTGAGGCTTTTCATCCTCCCTTCTTCCAGATAAGGAACCAGGCGGGGAAAGTTCCGTCTCTTGCTAGAAAGTGATGGAATGTAGATTTATTTTTTTAATAAAGATTTTATTTGTCATTTCAGAGAGAGGGGAAGGAAGGGAGAAAGAGACCGACAGAAACACCAATAGGTTGCCTCTCAAACACCCCCAACAGGGGACACAACCCAGGCACGTACCCGGATAGAGAATCAAACCGGCGAGCTCCTGCTTTGCAGGACGATGCCCAACGCACTGAGCCACACAGGTCAGGGTGGAATGTGGATTTAAATCCCAGCAGTCTTGCTCCTTCCCTCTCTCCTCACTCATGTCATACCTCTGTTCATGTCTGTCACAACCTCTCTTGGTGATCCTCAACTCACTGAAGTGCTCGGCACGGTGCTATGCGCATAACAGGGGCTCAGTGAGTATTTTCCCAGTGAAAGAATCACCTGAGCAGCACTAGTGTTGCGCGCTGCGCTGGGAGAAGTTGCTGCAGAAACGTCTGGGCGGTGGTGCCGGGGGCCCCTTCACCACCTTCTTCCCTCTTCTCCATTATTAAAGATAAGGACAGATGTGTAGGCAAATTGCCCCAGGGAATGTTCACAAGAAAGAAGACACAGGCGGTATTCATGAGCTGAGAGTCTGCCGCGCTGGTACCACCCAAGAGATGCCTGCAAAGTTCCTTGTATCATTAATTACTTGTATTGAACTTGGATGCAATGCAGTGCTTTTTTTCTCAGTGTGTGTGTACATACACACACGTACGATGAAGTCCAGCTTTGTCTCCCCAGGTGTGCTGGCATCCGAGCTACTCTGTGCACGTGCCGCACTCCTGGCGAGGCTTTGGAAGTGAGTGGTCCCTGTCCGCCCACAGAGCGCACGTTTCTGGATTAATCCAGAAGTGCTGGGCTCTGTGCATAGTGTCGTGTATGTTATATGTTGTAAGCAAAGTTCCTGCTCAGAGACAAGTTTGCAAAAGTTTGGCCGGCAAACCCAGATTTGCCAAACGACAGTGCTGCAGACAGGGAATGAGGGTTAGGTCATGGGAGCCAGGGCAGTGAAGGCAAGAGGAAGTGCAAAGTATGAGATTCTGACCTAAAAACTCTGGTATGAAAACCACTTGGGATGTCATTTATTTTTCTGAGCTTTCTTTTTAATATCATCACTGTCACTGTCATCCCACGGCTGTGAAAGGGCCTTCTTCGTTCCACTGCAGAACTCAGCAGAGACCCCTCTTGTTCACACGGAAGGCGGACGCCCCTCATGCCTCCCAGAAGGATACTCTCAGTGTTGGAGAGAGTTCATTGCCTACTTCTCTAAATTTCACCAAGGATGGGTTTCAGATGGAGCACAAGTTCTCCAGAACTCCAGAGAGATGTGGGAGGAGAGAAGACCAATGCATCATGGGCGCATGTCAGGACAGACTTCAGCTTAAACGAACAACCTCCGAAATCTCAGCGACTTCAAGTCTCCAGGCTGCCGTCCTCCATGTGGTGACTCGGGATTCCATCTCAGTATCAACAAGCACTTCTGCAGTGGCCAGTGGTGGGGGGTGGGCGAGGTGGGGAGGCGGCAGAGCTTGCGCACTGGCACTTGGAGGGACAGCTCGCATCCCTTCTCTCACAGCCCAGTAGGCGTGGCCACTCCCAACTCCAAGGGGGCGGGACGTCCAAACTCCCGCTCCACCCCATACTCTGAAGGGAAGGAGGACTGGGTATTAATGGACACTTGGAAAGTCTGCTACATACTGCCAGAGCCAGCAAGCTGGCCAGCATCCCCTTTCACATTCCTTCCTGTCCCTTGGACTAATGGGCATATATCGAGGACTGATGGGGGAGTGTTGAGGAGCGAAGACCAAACAGTTTTGCAGCCCCTTTTAGTCTCCTGGGGACCTTTCTGGAAAAGAGGAGGCAGGGAGAACCAGTCGGCTGTGGGTGCCTTTCCCATGGAGCTACCGGACGCTAGTAATGCCCGGGAAGAGTCATGGGTTAGCGAGAGCCATGCCTGATTGCAGCCATGCATCTACGGTGGAACAGCTCGTTTTGAGTCACCCAGAACCATCGTGCTCTGTGTGAAAAGGCCTCTGGAAATGTGCCCTTCTGCCTCCATTCCTCCCCTGTTACCAGACCTGATTCAAGTTCCCTCCAAGCCCTGTGACTTTTCCAGAAAGCAGCTCTCCCAGGGGCAGAGAGAGAGAGAGAAAAAAAAAAACTTTCCCTTATTATTCTTCTAATAATGAATTCCTGCTCTAAGTGGGCCGCTCCCATGTGTTTTCAGTCAAGTGTTGATGGCAGCCTTGCCGGGGGACATTTCCAAGAGGCCATGGACATGATAGATGAGGGCTCATATTGACAAGAGCTGCTCTCACAGTTTTCCTTCCAGTCTAGCCCTCCCGAGGCCTGAAATCGGAGATGAGAAATGATTCACGAGATCCCGTTGGTGAACAAACATGGCTGCCACACCTCTTCGCCGCTTTTAACTAAGTAAAAAGCCATTGTTTCACAGCTTCCCTCTAAGAGATTTGTAGACCTGGACCTGCAAGCTGGACCAGTTCTTTGTAGACGCCAAGACCTTCTCCTGTTTCTGGGACTCAAGCAGGGTCCTTGCCCACCCTGACATCATAAGAACAAAGGGAGACACGAGGTCACACAGTTTCCTGCCTGAAGCCTAATCTCAAGGCCACAAGGTGCTTCCAAGTAACACTGGTGGGAGGCCACGTTTGCTGAGGGATCCCACCCACTGGTTCTCCCCAAAGCAGATATCTTCAGATAATAATTCAGCTTCAAATTACCTACATGGAACTTGTACAAACTCTTAGTAGTGGACAAGCTCTTCTCATGCAGAAGAGTCTCAGGTAAAAGGGGACAGCACTGTCAAGGAGAGAGGTGGCCTGGAATTAGAAAGCCTTTGCAAGCAGAAGCAGCCCTGGGGATTCATTACCTTGGAGTCTCTGCTTCTCTCTGCATTCCTACCCAGGGCTACTCTCTCTCCCGGCAGGCGTGCATTACAGACTGTAACTCTCTGCTCACTCGAAACTTCAACATGCTTGTGGCTCATCCTGGCCTCTTGAGCTCCTCTCTTTATCCGGCAGCCTTTCAACTTAAGTTCCCATTGGCTGTTTTCCTTGGTATTTCCTAGTTAAAATTCCTAAGAGAGAATCTCATTGGCCAGGGATCATCTTACTGTTTTGCCTCAGGTAATGTCATTGGTCACTAGCCAGCCAGTTATTTGTGGGAGCTGAAAGCGTGGCTGCCTAGCAGCAGTGGAGGTGGGCAAGGGGGCTCCCCCTGGAGGGGCCATGAGAGGAGGTACCAGTGGTGAGCTGCAGCATGCTCTGTGTCCTTGACTGGATTGCTGCAAGGACA